GGAAAGGCATGAGAGGGGAGACAGTAGGCAAGAAAGGGGAGAAAGCTCAGCACTGGGAGAAGACCTCATTCAGTGAGCATTCACCCCTTGGGAACTAGCGCTGATCTCTGTTAAGGCTGCCAAAAGTCTGTCTGGGGCTGGTACTACTGCCCTATGATCAGTGCATGAACTGATCCAGAAAAAAAGGCAATTCAGTTTTGGCCACACAGTTGCCAGTACGAAGGAAGAAATGGAAAAGCAAAATTGGAATTGTTTAGGTGGAAGTACAGAGTATCCCTGGTGCAGGCCTGGTGCAGGTAGTCTCAAACTCTGAGGCTGTAACTAGTAAAACCAACTTAAATCAGCACCGTCTCATGTTTTCCCTGCCCCAGTCACTTCACCTGAACCCACAGTTTGTGGCAACACAATGAAGCAGTTTGGAGACCTGATCAAGGTTAAAACTAACCCAGCAAAGCCTTAAGCTCTGACCAGGTTGTAGCTGTTCTGTTGCTCTCCTCTGTCCATCCGTACCTGTCCACTGCTTCCACTTATTTTGTGAAGCTCCTGGAAAGCAGGCAGTCTGTCCTGCATCTCTGCAGCCCCGAAGAACCCCTCTCATCCCTCAACCCCACCGGAAAGATTTGTGGGTCCTACAGGGAAAAAAATACAACATGCAAAAAGATGATACATCTAATGTAAGAACTAAGGAATCTGAAGCTTTGAATACGTGATCTCTGCATAATATATGGGAAATAAAAGGTCAGTGGTAGCTGCTGACAGTATTACAGCATGCTGGGAATAAAGTACTGCTACTATCAATAGCTACGCTTAGCTCACTGGAGTTAGCAGACAGTCTGATCTCACCCAGACTGCACAACATGGGACATTCAAGCTGCAAACTGCATGCATTTTCACCCTTTTTTTTTTTTTTAAAGCAGGGAAATGTTACTGCTAGAAAATATATGGGTTGAGGGCATCATTGCTATTGCTGAGGCAGAACAATAACTTCAGTCATGATTTATATAGCTAATTTCAGGATAAAACCCTCTCTATTTTTAAAAACAGGAAGAGACCACAAAATTACCTGATTTTGTATTCAACAGTGATTACAGTTTATACTGCCCAACGTTTCAACTCAGTAAGTATGCAAATAGAATATTTTATTAAAGTAACAGACAAAAGAGGTCTTTTTTTTATGTGTCCTCTTCACTGCAACAGATCTTATCAGGCTGCAGCCAGACACACTAGCTTCCCTTTCACCTGAAGTGCCTGTCTGGTTTTAAGAGAATTATTTCCCAAACCAAATACTCATTTCCCCGTTGTATAGGGCTCTATTTCCAGTTTATTGCTCGTTTGTTCTGTTTTAAGCTACCAAAATGATCTTTTTGTCATCTAAAAGCTTCCAGAGTGAAAAGCCCTGAAAAGCTACATATATCATCCATATTAGACAGTAATCTTGGTACTTGCTTCTATTGAAGCAACTAAAGCATTGTTTTCTAAGGCATCTGAAGCCAGCTCAGTACTATCTATTAAAGGAAAGTCTGCCATGTGGAGATACATGATCTAACACTTTTGACTACATCTAAATCAAAGTGTCATGGCAACTCCTTCCATGATACCTATTCATGTTTACCAACAGATATAATGAAGGCACAGAGGGTTTGACCAAGACATCCACATAAATCCCAATTCCAACCCATATGTTGTTTTCTGGAGGCACTGTTCAAGACAGGTGCTTCATGCTCTCCCGCTGCTGCTAAGGATGGGCAGGGACCTGCAGAGGAACTCAGCATGAGGAAGAAGGGGATGGTGTCCACAAAGGAGAAATTGGAGAAAAATCAGAGAAAGCACCAAGATACCTCTCTGACTCTTTTACTCAGGCACAGCAATATAGCATCACTGGCAGAGGTGAGCCAACAGTCAAGATTCTACTAACAAATGAAGGGATACATAAACTGGAGACAGGGTTGAAAGGACCTTAAGACAGCCATCCTGTTTCTGTGGAGAATGCAAAGGGAAAAGCAGCACAGAGATTCACAGAGATGCTGATCTAGTTGAAGCATCTGATTAGGCAAAACCCACTTCAAAGAGGCATTCTGAATAGACGGATGCTAGTGGGCAAGATGCATTTGTCAAGGGCAGAGGAAAATTTCCTTAAGCAAGGTGTAAAGAACAAGACCTTATTAAAGGGTGTTTCAGCTTCATGGATGGTTAAGACCGACCCACAGGAAAAAATAAAAACGGGAAATGAAAACAAAATAGTAATTTCAGAAATATGAACACTGAAAAATTTAGGTTTGTAGTAAAAATTGCATTGCTGAAGCAAGGCATTTAGCTGACAAGATATTCTACATACAGAGAAAAGGAGGAAACTGCAACATACATGTTCAGTAATTTAATAATGGTACATCAATTTACTTCCTCCTTTTATATCTCATATTAAGTACCAATACTTTTTCCACACACCAACCATTTCATCAATTGCTTGTCTCATCAAGTCTTCAGCTATAAATATACAAAGATAGACATGTGTAGCATTAATTTCCTTCAAAAACAACAAATAAAACAGATTATATGTAGAAGCAGCACTTCTGCCTAGAGACTGTACAAAACAGTGTTAGGTGTGAAATGCTAGAAAATCTCTGCTTTTACCATTGAATAAATCACCGAAAAAGTAATTGAAACATTAACTTTCAAAACTGAGAAAACCTCTGAGTGTGTGAACAAGCCAAGACAGATTCTTTCTAAGTCCTGCCCCCCCCCTTTTAAATACCAGTCAAGGAAAACAGCTTTGACTCCTCCTTTATTAATTTAAAGCCCACATGACAAATCCCACTATGAGTTACATTGCCTTTTCCACAGACTAAATAAAATTAGTAAACAAGACTAGCTGAAACTGATAGAGGAGAAAAGCCGCTGTCTCCATCATAACACATGAAACAGGAGTGTTTGACTATAGAGTATGAATCACAGAATGTTTTGGGTTGGAAGGGACCTTTAAATGTCATCTAGTCCAGCCCCCTACAACAAAACAGTGACATCTTCACCTAGATGAAAGTAAGCACTAACTCATTTCTTTGCCCTGATTTTTTTTTTTTTGAGTTCAGAAATAACATCTTTCAAGACCCCAGTATTACTTTTAATTTCATAGGCCATTTTTTCACATGTATTTATGGCTGTAAAGATCAATTAGAAATCCTTTGTGGGAGGTCAACCCCATCAGTTCAATTACTCCATGTAATTGTTTTAGCAATCATAGTTAAATACCCATTTTAATTTTTATTTAGAGACTCAATTACCAAGCATCAAGCAGATGTAAACACTTAAAATTTTATCTTCTCTCCCTCCTACACCTTCTTCCCCAGTACAAATACCATTTTACCCCTCAGCATTCTCTAAATAATGAAAACATACATGTAGCCATTTAAAACCTCCATGTAACTCCTAGAGCTCACTGATGCTTCTCTCCCAAACATACCTGAAGACAAGCCCATCATGCTTTATTAGGAGTATCTCCATCCATGATCGTGCCTACCTGCTTCCATCCCAAGAGCCCTGCGGCTCCAAAAGCCTTCATAGGTTTATCTGTGCCTTATACCCCACCTCTGCCTTTCAGGTGGAAAGGAGTCTCAGTGACTGATTTATTAGAAAGAATTCTGTTTCTAACGGTGCCTTTACATATCTATTTTAATCAGCAACTGATCCAT